GCAACTCTGTCGGCGCCCTATTCGGCTGCCGGTTTACTTGGTCCCGGTCCCATTTTGCGGGCAAACTCCACACCTTCGACTTCCGGCACCTCAGCCCCCCTCAACGGAGCACCCCAGGCTGTTCAGCCCCCGACGGGTCCTTCTCGTACAACCCTGTGGCCCTCGGGAATTCATCGGCCGCGAATTTGGATTTTCCAGCATTGCCACCCGGCCATCGCTCCTTCCGCGATGCAATTATCGACAAAACCGTTGACAAGCCAGGCCAACAAAGACTTTCATCGAGTCATTTCGGGACAAACAACGAGGGACTATCTCGCGCTCCGAGGAGGAACGGTTTACGGTAAGTTTCCCTGAGCCTGTTGTCTCTTCTTTAGTCGGGTCGTACAACAATGCCCTTATTTTGAAGTTTTTCTTCTCCGTCTCCTCCCTCCGAGACTTATCTGTTGGATTAGGAAAGCTGGGTTTTAAGGGTAGACGTAACCCTAAGTTCTTTAACTATAACCACTATCTAGTGTTTTTTGAATTGAGAGAGGACTATAATGTAGCTTGGACCAAGACGTATTTGAACGTATGTGGGTGCTCTGGTCGGGTTGTCTCCCATGACTTCTTCCTCATCTCTTTGACCCCACTACCCTCTTTTCGATTATCAGCTGTATTAGCAATCCGATTGAGGTTGACGCCGCTACGGCCAACCAGTTGAGGTTATCCGTCGCATGGGAGTGCGTAAAGATAGACTCCGTGGTGAGCTCATCGAAGAGATTGAGCTCAACCACGCAGGGAATGTCACCGTCCAGAAGGTGGCCCACGATAGAGTCACACCATTTTGTGCCCTCTGCAGCCATGTGGGACATGCTGCGACTCACTATTATACCAAGGGCAACAAGCCCCAACCGTCACTGTCCCCACGCAGCCACGTAGTCAGGTCAAGTTCCTCATCTATTCCGAAGGTCCCAAAGAGGAAGTGCAAGACCATTTTTTGAGCACCTGAGTCCCTAAAAAGACAAAAGGACAAGAGTGAGGCTGCCATTGAGACTCCCTACCAGGTTCGAAATGCTCTCCAGTCTAAACGTCCCAAGGGAGTTGCTCTGGACATGCCAAAATCCAGAGCTTCGAGGATGCTCGCTCACTTGTCTCTCTAGATGGCACCCATGGCCGTTCACTCCTTCTTCTCTGTCCTCGTGTCAGAGACATAAGATTAGCATGCTTCTACCTCTAGCCCCCAAGAGACACGTTCAGCTCCCCCCTCGATGAGGATGACCTCTTGGACAACGAGACAGGTTCGTCTGTCTCCATAGTAGTACTATTCACTTTCCCCCTCCCCCACCACCAGCTCTCGCACCACAGAGATGGCGTAGGAGCCCGTTACCTCTACGGAGGCCCCGCAGGATTTGAGGTCTCCTCCTGCCTCCACTTCTTTGATTGAGACCGAGGCTTCCCTTGCCTCTTCCCCGAGAGTGAGCATTTGGTTATACTCACAACCAGTGCAACTTTTATACTCCAAAGTGGGGCCCTTCCGGCCCTGCCAGCTGATCCCCCCTCATCCCCAAGAGTCAGGGCCCACACCTACCCATTACCAGGCCCTGACCTTTCCAGGACCAGAAGTTCACTAGTTGCCTTCCCTAGAGGATACTCTTCTGAGAGTCCAGACCACCCTTGGACCAGATCTCTAGAGGATATTCTTTCTGCGAGCCCAGACCTCCACCGCCCTCAGACCAGATTTAGGACCGCGCGACGCTCAACCAACCGAGCTTTACCTTTCACAGATAGACAAACCCAGCCTAGCCATGGGCATACCCAGTTAGGCGGTATCTCTGACATTTTATATGTCAGTCACATCCCTAACCTAGAATGCCCATGGCCTGGTTAATAGAGCCACCTAAGCTTACGTTCGCTCCTTTGTTCGTGATCATATTCTTGACTTTGCTGCTTTTCTTGAGCCCATGACTCGTGACCCCTCCTTTGACCTTTACACATACCGTTTTGGTTTCCACTCCGGCATGGAAAACATTTCTAATAAGATATGGTTCTTTCACTTACGTGACTTTACCTGTCGGGTCATCTGTGACATTGAACAGGTCATGCACGTTGAGCTCTTTGCAGTCTATCTCCTGAAACCAATTTTCCACACACTTGTATATGTCAGTTACGCGAGGGTTAGTCGTTATGATTTGTGGGACACCATGTGTAAGATTGGTGAGAGCATGAAGAGATTACCGTGGATGGTTAGCAGTTTCAATATCTTTCTTCATCCCGATGAGCGCGTTGGTAGCCAGTCGGACCATTCTGCGGAGATATTAGATTTTTCTCAAGCAGTGGCGGATTGTGAGTTAATCGATGTTGGATACGAAAGCTCACCCTTCACGTGGGAGTGGGTTCGAGTCATGGAGAGGTCGACCGTGCTTTAGTCTCTGAGGCATGGATGGGGCATTTGCAGTCACTACCATCATACATCTCCCTTGAATTGAATCTGATCACGCTCTCATTCTTATCCGGTGTCGATTTTTGAACAAGCCCTGTCGGTCCTTCTTTCGGTTCCAAAATATGTGGACCCGCCATCACACATTCTATGACATGGTTAGGACTTTCTGGCACCAACCGACGGGACTTTTTGGAATGCGTAACCGAGAGGCGAAGCACGGAAGACTGTGGTGCTGTCAGAAGCAGTAGAATTTGACGGTTTTTTGAGACATTACTCAGCGCCTTGCTGCAGCTCAGAGTGCGTATGAAGATGCTTAGCGAGCTTATGATCTGGGCTCATCTTTAGAGAATAGGACCACAATGCATTGCTGTCACGCTGAGTACCAGCTCCGTCTCTTAAGGATTTCTGGAAGCAGAAGGCTGCCGTGCGTTGGGTTGCTGAGGGAGAACGTAATATCAACTACTTTTAGGGATTTTTGAGGCAGAAGTGGGTTAAGTCTCATATCTATTATATCGAAGATAACGGGTCTTTTCTGACACATGAGTCTTAGATACATGAGTCGGATGTGACATAATTCCAGTCCCCTTTCACCTTTGATCGAGAATTGTTAACGCCCTCAATGCTTCCCACTTCTCCACCATCTCGCAATCGGTCGACCTCATTGACCTCTGCGACCTCTTCAGTAAGGAGGAGATCAGGGAGAATGTTTTTGGGATTGATCCCAAAGTGTCTTTGGCCCGGATGGCTACTCGTCTCTCTTCTTTCAATCCTGTTGGGAGATTGTTGAGACTGACGCTGAAGAAGCTGTGGTGGATTTTATCTCGGGTCACCAGATGTGGAGTCCATCATAACAACCTCTAATGTTTTAATACCAAAGAGACCTGGTCCTAGCTCTTTGTCCAATTATAGACCTATCAGCCTTTGTAACGTTACCATTTAGCTCATCTCTAATATCCTTAACGGTCGCCTTTCCCTTCTCCTCCCTTCATTTGTCTCTCTGAACCAGAGTGGTTTCATCAAGGATCGAGTCATCAGCGATAACATTCTTTTGGCCCAAGAGATGGTCGAATGGTCGTTTCTCAATGAGGTTCTGTCTCGGATGGGCTTTCCTGAGCGTTGGATTAGTTTTGCGGAGGCGTGCATGGAGCATAGCACGTTCCCAGTTCTAGTTAACGGTAGCCCCACTGACTTTTTCCCTTCCACCCGCGGTCTTCGGCAGGCGGATCCCTTATCACCCTCTCTTTTTGTCCTGGCGGCGGACTACCTGTCTCATTGCCTTGACGGCTTCATTCGCGACTTTTAGAGGATGACCTACAGCACACGTGGTTATGGTCAACCCATCTCACACCTCTCTTATGCGGATGACATTATTATCTTCACTCGTGCAGATAATAATGGACTGGCTGAGCTCATGCACCTCCTAGGGCACTATAGGTCGGTCTCTGGTCAACTGGTCAGTGTGCAAAAGACCACATTCACTCTTGATCATCATTTTGCGGACCAGTGGGCTCATTGGGTTCATGAACGAACTGGTTTTGCCCGCAGCGACCTCTTCATCTCCTATCTTGGTGCCTTCTTTTACAAGGGGCACCTCTCACATGCTCTTTACTGACGTTAGACAAAGGATGATTGAATGAATCTCCGGCTGGTATCACAGACACCTCTCTTTTGGTTGTTGGCTAGCTCTGATCAAGAGAACCCTTAGCACCCTTCTACTTCATCTCCTTACAATTCTTGACCCCCACCAGTCTATTCGAATTTGGAGAATTTTGTGCATTGGTTGGATAAGTTAATAC